AGCGTCCTCGTGCTTATTCAAATCACCCGCGCGCGCTCCGTGCCCTCTGTCCGGCGAGTCTCAGCCGTGTCCAGTCTGCGCCCTGACCGCGTCTTTACGCACGGACCGAACGAGCAGAGCGCACGGGAATGGAGCAGCCAGACCCGAGAAGGAGCAGTTAACGCGGACACAGAGAGGACATGTGCCCGGTAAGACCAGACTATGATTAAAAACACCACGTTTTAATCATATTTTCATGTATTAACAATTGACTGATTGTTTAGTAAATGTAGTTAACTTGTAATCAATTTTAATTTAATGTTAAAATATTACAAAATAATAATATATAAAGCACTTTATCTTGTCCTGATGAATGAAAAGTTATGGAGGCAATTGGCAAGTAATTTTATGAGAAATATGTGCCATTGAAGTTAGAGCCATACATACAGATCCAAGTGTCAGTGTAAACCTCACGGTACAATATTTATTTTGACATCGTGGGAAAGCTTACGATATGGTGGGAAGGCTCACAATTCGGGATGTAACGATATCAAAATCTGTCGGTACAATATTTTCACAATATAAATCTCACAATACGATATTTACTGAAGGTTAATATGTTCCTTTTTCCTCTTAAAATGTCTTGACAAGACTAAATCCAAAGAACTAAGACTTAAAAGTGTTAGAACTGTTATTTCTTCTTGTAGTTTGCACTGAAATGGAGCAAAGGATCATGGTCTATGTAGTTCTGTCTTTTTTTTCCCCACTATTGCTGCACCATAACTTTTAATTTAAGCAAAGAGACTTGTAATTCAATAAATTGTGATGGTCCATGGTATTATTTTGAGAACTTTGACGATACGATCTCATGATATTTCGGTTATTGTTACATCCCTAATACTTATGATTCAGTTTTTAATACTGTCGAAGTTTAGGGCAGTTTCTCATTTGCAAATAGCCATAAAAGGCAAAAATTATTCATGTTTTTATTTATTTATTCCTCATTCTATTATTTTCTTAGTGTCAACTTAAAGAGAACAAAAACAACAAAAAAAGATCTGAAAATCAACATATTTCTTCGATTATTTGCCTCGTCTTTGCTGCTTGAACAAAAGGAACAGGAAGAAGAGAAATTGTATAAACCCTGCTCCTTTCACAGATCAAAAAATTAAACATTTCTTAAATAATCGTTCCCCACCCCAAAAACCAAACCAAGTCACCAATCAGTAATCCATAAGCGTGTTACAAACTCTCTTGTGCTTTCATTAACTTTAAACATTTTCCTTAGTCACGTCGTCCATCATTATTTTATTCTTGTACATTTTCTTGAATTTAGAAACACTCGTGCAACTTTTAAAATCATGATTTAACAAGTTCCGTTTCTTGACGTCGTACACCGAGACGCATTTCTGTTTTAATGTCGTCCTTGAGAAGACGGTTCGGAAAAAAATATTGTCTTCTGTGGTCACAGTCCTCCGAGATAAATGTAAAAAAAAATATTCTGTAGAGCTTTGGGTTTACGTTACATCCATATGAACCGATGTGCAACTTCTGGGTTAGATTTTCACACAATAAAACGAGAAAAATGAGAAATAGGCTAATCGATTTTAAAGGTGCAGTGCGTAACATTTCCGGTGGAGGGTCTCGCACCTGCTCGTCTGCCAGGAATGTTGTAAAGTACGACAAGAAACATATCCGTCTTGTGTTTATTCATTTGTTTCTATCTCAAAAATACAATGATTCCTTCTGTGAATAGGGGCGACTCTCCACAGATCTGAACTGTAACGTAGCGTAATGCTGGTATAGTTTTAATTTATTTATACCGTGGAACATTCAATAACATTTCCATGGTGACAAGCAGGTGGTGGACCCTCCACTTGAAATGTGATTAGACTTTTGTTAATTTTTCTCGGTTTATTGTGTGAAAATCTGACCCAAATAATTTTTGCCTTTTATGGCGATTTGTAAACGAGAGACGAACCGTAACTTTGACAATGTTAAAAACTCAATCATAAGTATGACTCAAACTTCAAGGTCTTCTAAAGCTACAGGACTCAAAGGGGACTAGACCGGAGCGCTAGACCGAGGAGGAAACCTGGGACTAAAACCTGGGACTGAACTGAGGAGGAAACCGGGGACTAAACTGAGGAGGAAACCTGGGACTAAACTTGGGACTAAACTTGGGACTAAACTTGGGACTAAACTTGGGACTAAACTTGGGACTAAATTTGGGACTAAATTTGGGACTAAACTTGGGACTAAGGCTTGTACTAAGACTTGGACTAAGCGTGGGACACAAGGGAAATTATTTGGACACAGTAGGTCACATCACAATATAAAATAATAACAAAGAGAAAAAATATATAAATGTTAATAATAAATTCTAAATAAGTAACAAAAAAGACAAATATATAAATGTAAATGTACAAGTCAAAATAAAATAGAAAAATAAGTAATAAATTAAAGCCGCGCGCGGCGATGGTGGCCCTCGCCCCGGGCGCGCACCGCCCCCCCATGCGACCTCCGGGGACTCGCGACCGTCCCGGCACGCCACCCTCTCTTCCCGACATCCGCCCACGCCGACAGCTCGTCGATTAGACACATTCCATAATGCACCTTTAAATATTTTTAGGAGTCATTGCGCCCCTGCTGGCCAACAGCGGAAAATGCACCATGTCCGTTTTTTTTTGTTTTTTTTGCTCATAATCATGCATAGAACTTATTCCCTGAATTTGGTACAAATCCAATAATGTTGACATGTTATGTCTATGGTAGGGGGCGCTATGGAGTTCACTTGTCATATGTTTTATAGTGTATTATATTCAGGCTCAGATCACGCATTATTGATTCAAATTTCAGCACGATCCGATTAAACATGGGCATATAACAATTTTTTAACTATTTCTTGGGGGAGTCTTTGCGCCCCTGCTGGCCAATGGTGGAAAATGCATCATATCCATAATGGACTTTTTTGCTTGTATTCATGTGTAGAATTGTATTTCCAAATTTGGTGCTAATCCGATAATGTTTACGTTTCATGTCTATGGTAGGGGGCGCTATAGAGTTGACTTTTCATATGTTTTATATTGTATTATATTCAGGCCGTGATCATGCATTAGACTAAAACCTTGGACTAAAACCTTGGACTAAAACCTTGGACTAAAACCTGGGACTAAAACCTTGGACTAAAACCTTGGACTAAAACCTGGACTAAAACCTGGGACTAAAACCTGGGACTAAAACCTGGGACTAAAACCTGGGACTGTACCAAAGACTAAACCTTGGACTAAAACCTTGGACTAAAACCTTGGACTAAAACCTTGGACTAAACCTTGGACTAACCTTGGACTAACCTTGGACTAAAACCTTGGACTAAAACCTGGGACTAAAACCTGGACTAAAACCTGGACTAAACCTGGACAAACCTGGGACTAAACCTGGACTAAACCTGGACTAAACCTGGGACTAAAACCTGGGACTAAAACCTGGGACTAAAACCTGGACTAAACCTGGCTAAAACCTGGGACTAAAAAACCTTGGACTAAACCTTGGACTAAACCTGGGACTAAACCTGGGACTAAACCTGGGACTAAACCTGGGACTAAACCTGGGACTAAACCAGGACTGTCGGACACAAAGCGGAGTGGCGGCTCAGGAGGAAGTGTTGTATTTGCATGACTCTTTGTTTATTCATTTGTAATTCCCTGAAAACGTTCTGCCTTTCAACAATAGGCCTGGATCCGGGTTTTCTATTGGACAAACTCTCACGTGTTGTTGTCAGAGCAGGTTAATGTTTGATGAAAGTCTGAATGGATTTACTGCATTTTAATCCGGCAATTTCCTGGATAAATTATCGGGAAAATGCCGAGTTTGTAGGGTGTGAATATTGCCACCACCTGGTTTCTTTGCTTATGAGTTTGTTTCCCGGGTGCAGATGTGGTTCCATTCGTTTGTCATTGAATTTAAATAATGCCACTTTAAATAAATGTTCTTCGGAAGGGTTGACTGCATACATGTTCTTCGAGGAATTTTCAGCAAGTTATCGTAGTGACACAGTGCACACAAGTTTTCAGATAAAGATAATCTAAAAATGCTTGCTTAAGAAAACAGTGGATTTAAGATGCACATTTTCAGGAGTTTGTGATCAATCCGAGTGTCCGTGGTTCTATTTAGGAGTTTGATTTCCAACAGAAAGGTGAGTGACTTACTGAAAAACTTTGGGCAAATGCTACCTAGTTTTTGACTGTAATTTTATGTGAAAGAGACTTGTTTAACAGCACAAATCTCCTGTGCTGCCGAGTCAGTTCGGGCTCAGCCTTATCAGAAGAGCCTCTAGTCAGAAAATCCATGTTCAGGTAGTGTTACAAATTGTTACAAATTAAATTGTATTTTAAGAAGTAAATATTAAAAGTAATAAATGTATTAAACCCTTAAAATACAACAAAAATGTTTGAGGAAATAATGATTTGGGCGGAATTGTCTGTCTTAAGTGTAACAGGGTTAATAATTGTCTGATTTTCAGGCAACAACTTGCAAAATGTTCAGTAATTCAAGCTCTACAACCTTCATTTAAATTTTATTTTAAATCTTTTTCATTTAATATAGCATTAGTGGGTTTGTAAACCAACAAATTAAGTAATGTTGGCCTTAGCTAATGCTGTTATGCATGATTATGTGTTTTCCTGTCAATATCTCTAAAAATGTTGATGTTGCAGCCATTTTTAATTGGTAAACATCCAAAAGTTTACTAATTCCCTGATATCCAGGGATTATTCCCTGTTGCTTTCATCAAATATACATTCAATTGTTCAAGAGAAATGTTGCTGACAAACCAATAGAAGAGGTAATGATTTTCTGGCTAGTGGGCCTTCTGACTACAGGGCCTTCTGATGATAAGGGGGTAACCGTCAGTTCTTTATGGTCAGATTGTTAACAGAGCTTCAGATCGAGTAGTGCCTCTAGTTAGAGCTAAACCTCCAGGGAATGTTGATGACATCAGCTGCAAAGTATCAAAGAACCAAATGTGTCCATATGAGACTCATTTCTTTCTGCTTGGTTATAATATTGTTTCCTCATCATAAACCTGGAGGAGTTTTGTTTCATTCACACATTTTTAACACACAAACCCTGTACATTTAGGCTGAGTTCTTCTCTCGAATGGAAAACACACCGCTCCACCTTGTGATGTCATGTGGTAATACAGAAAGTGCTCCACTGTGTTTTTAAATTCCATTCACCTTCACTAAAATCGTTTGGATGAATTCAGCCTTTGAATTGTCAATCTTGTCTAGCAATGCTAGCTGTTAATTTGAAAACTACTGCTTCATGGCATCACCAGAGGCAGTGCTACCATTAGGCAAATGTAGGCAGCTGCCGAGGGCCCCCGAACCTGGAGGGCCCCCAAACGATTGCCATGAGTGCCTCTCATGGCCGAGGCCTCAGAGCGATTTGATTTTCTCTCAGTATGACATAAAATGAGGGTAGTTTAAACAATAATCATGAGAAAAAACAGCGCAATCAGAGAGCAACCTGGTCCCACATGAGGCATCGGTGGGGGCAGTTCATCACCAAAGAAGCAGCTTATGAGGAGCCCAGCCCATACCCCGGTTATGTGTGATTGGGTGAATATTTTAGCCCACAGATGGTTCAGAAATTGGCGATCCTTTATAATGGCGTGACATTTCCATTGACCCGTGTGACCTCAAATGACCTCGGATCGTCACCAAACTTTTTTTGTAGCATCAGGCACAGGGGCTTGACCCACCTACCAAATTTGGTGATAAATGGTGGAATTATTGCAGGTGGACAGACACACAGGGTGAATACAAAACCTGGTCAACCCTTCAGGGACCAAGTAATAATCATAACATCATTACATCATGGATGTAAACAAAAATGTCACTGTACTAACAAAAATAAAACCACTTGCAGCTCTGGTTATCTAGTAGGCAAACTCACTAATAAGACAAGTTTCCAATTTACCATAATTCAAATAGAGATGTGCATGTCTCAAGAACAATGAGGGGAAACGGACAATAAAAAAATATATTAAAAAAAACTCCGCCACTGGACATCACAAGGTGGAACAGAGCATTTTGTGTTTTTGAGATAAAGACATAATGGATTGATTTCTCAATAGGGTGACCATATTTTCAAAATCAAAAACTGGGATTGGCTGTTGGTAATAGTAAAATTGTGAAACGAGTGTGTAATTAAGGAAAATTGTTCTGCACTCAGTCCATTCATGACGAACATGAGTCAGTATAGTTACATTTTCTATGTGTTTTGGTCCTTTTTAAGCAGCTTTTCTGTGTTTTATCTAAGCAAATGACAATGTATGTCTCTCTTTACTGTTGACGGGGATCACACTGGTCAAAAATGGGGACACCTGTGATATTTCTTGTATAAAACTGGGCAGTGTTAGAATTGCGTGCGTAGCGTGAGCGATGGCTCCCATGAAAGCGACAAAATTTATTATATGGGGGTCGGGGTCTCAAATACGTCATATTTAATCATAAATAAAACTCATTTCTGATGATCGTGCTCCCATAAGTTTGTGATTTGTTTGTTAAACCGCCTAACATGCATGGCTGTACTTCAGCACTACACCAACATGTGCACAAACTGCAAACAATCCATCAGACAGCTTGTGAAACTTAATCTGAAGAAACACCTCACCATGATTTGAGCTAAATCAATACAGCTTAAAAAAAAAACATCTAAGACATCTCACCGTGTGCAAAAACATCTGGTCCAGGAGAGCGCCTAGGCTTTTATTTTGGCTACTTGTGCATTTTAGTGTTTATTTAGTTATAGACACAGACAAACACAGACCGACCAAACAACACAGAGCCTCATGAGCCTCCCAACCATATCGTGAGCATTTCTATGATATTGCAATAAATATCGTACCATGAGGTTCATACCGTGATGATATGATGATATCATATCATGACACTTGGATATCGTTACACCCCTAACAGTTACATGTTTCTCTTCTTTAGGTCTCGCTCTGGTTCCATCCTTAGACTCGACACCGCGGTTACGTCCTGATCTGTCCTCTGGATGCGTCACCATGAACCTCCCCAGCGACGTCGCGTTCACTCACTACGACCCTACTTCCTCCTCTGCCAATGATGTCACTTCCCCTCTGTCTGCCTCCGCTCCTCCCCTTCACCCTGACCCTCCCCCGACCGACAAACCAGAGGAGCTTCCCCACAGCCACCTCCTACAAACGAACCAAACGGAACTTTTCAATCCTTACACCGACCCCACGTCACCTGCGACCGTCGTTGGTCAACCCGCCCACCCCGCGCTCGTCCAGTCAGAGAGTTTGAGCGTTCCGGAAACCGGCTCGAGCCCTCCCCGCCTGTCCATCGTGTCGTCACTGAGCCCAGATCTGGAATGCTCCATCTGCTTCAGTCAGTTCAACAACGCCTTCCGCTGCCCCAAGATGCTCCACTGTGGTCACACGTTCTGCCTGGAGTGTTTGGCGCGGATGAACGTGAAATCCCCGGAGCCGAGCGCGCTGCTGTGCCCGCTGTGCCGCGCCTCCACGCCGCTGCCCGCCCTAGGACTGCCCAAACTCAACACCGACGCCAGCGTGCTCTCCTGCCTGCCCAGCTCCATGCACAGAGTCTACAGCGTGCGCTTCGTGAGGAACAAGGGCCGGCTCCAGCTCAAGAGGTCAGTGGGGTAGTCCTGGGTTAAACCTGGTTCAGACCTGAGTTGGTCCTGATTTAGTCCTGCTTCAGTCCATGGGTTTCGAGCGAGGCCCTGGTTTTGGATCTGTTTTAGCCTGGGTTTAAGTCCTGGGGCTGGTCTTGTTTTCGAGTCCCTGGTAGTTCAGGGTTAGTCCTTGGCTTACTTCTTGGTTTAGTTTAGTTTTGGTCAGTCCTGGGTTTAAGTCCTGGGTTTTGAGTTCTTGGGTTGGTCCTGGGTTTTGAGTTCTTGGGTTGGTCCTGGGTTTTGAGTTCTTGGGTTGGTCCTGGGTTTTGAGTTCTTGGGTTGGTCCTGGTTTTTGAGTTCTTGGGTTGGTCCTGGTTTTTGAGTTCCTGGTTTTTGAGTCCCTGATTCAGACTTGTGATAGTCTTGGGTTAGTCCTTGGCTTACTTCTTGGTTCAGTTTTGGTTAATCCTGGGGTTAGACCTGGTTTTGAGTTGTTGGATAGACTGGTTCAGTCATGGGTTCAGTCTTGGTTATGAGTCCTTGGTTCAGATCTGTGATAGTCTTGGATTAGTCCTTGGGTTACTTTTTGGTTTAGTTTAGTTTTACTCAACCTGGGCTCTCAACCGGGACTGAGCCCAGGTTCAGAGCCCACGTTAGTTCCTGGTTTAGTTTGCAGTTAATCTTGCAGCCCTTGTCCACATTAATCCTGATGCCCTCCCTCTTTCTCTCAGGCCCGACGGCATACTGACCCAAAGCATGCGGCGCTCTGTGGACGTGGGCCTGCCCAGTCCGGTGCCCAGGGACTCGGTGCGCGGGACCAGAGGCGGCATGGGTGGAGCTCTGTTCAGACTGACAGGTCGTCCAGCCTGTCGGGCCTTCCTCCTCACGGCCGTCATCTCCATGATCGTCCTCCTCACCGCCATCATCGTCTACCTGCTCACCTACTTCAAAACCCAAACGCCGTGACGTCTCTCCCTGTCCTGCCCGAAACGCAAAAACACCCGGAATGCAGCAGGAACATTTGGAAAAGAGACATGGACCAGCACGTCCCCTCTGCAGAAGACTGAGATGACGTGAGGATAATAAAGGACAAAATAAGAAAAGTATGAAATAATTTGTCTTTGGATTTATTGTCAGGTCAGGATGTTTTTATTTTAAAGGTTCTGCATTACACTCTTCTCTGATTTGGTTGTTTTCTCATCACAAACAGACCTGGAGTTGTTTTGTTTCATTCACACTGCAGATTTAGGCTTCTGTTCTGCTGTATTTTTAAACTCCATGCGTCTTCACTAGAATCATTTAGATGATTTCAGTTCTGGAATTGACCTTTTTCACAACGTCCGGAATTGCTGCGATGTAGGGTAAACGTCACTTCCTGTTAATGGTTGTCTGTCTGAATGTGTGTCGTTTTCTCCAGCAGCTTCATAAATCTGCCCCATCACCAAATCTTCAACCAACAAGGTCCACAAAGGATAAACATTCTTCCAAGAATAATTTATCCACGATTGTCAAGGTAAGAAAGACGAAAACTTAAAGGCAAACAACGACAACTCATTAGTGACACACTGAGCAAAATTAACGTTATGGTCATGAATAAAACAAGGAACTTACGACCTACATGGAGAGATTGTGTCTGTCTATGCTGATCTACATCATGAAATCCATTTTATTTTAATTCTACAATCAGTTTGAGTTCACAAGTTACTTATTAATGAATTACTTATTACTTCTGTTTGATTCGTGACCATAACGTTTTTGCTCAGCTCACTGATGCTCGTCATTGTTCGCCTTTACGTTTTCGTCTTTCTTACATTGATAGTTGTGGATAAATTCTTCATGGACAAAACGTTTATCTTTTGTCGACCTTGTTGGTTGCAGATTTATGAAGCTGGTGGGAAATACGCCAGACATTTCCAGATATTTTGCCACAGAAAACCATAAACCAGAAGTGACGTTAAACCAACATCACGACACTTAATCTCTACTCAACAAAATCAAAAAGGATAGCTGTTAACTTGACATGACGAGGTGAAACTGAGCATTTGGAGCTTTAAGACGTAAACCGACTAATAATAAAGGTCGAACATGTATAAATGAAAACAATGAAACAAAACAGTAGGTTTTTGAAGATGCAACAACATTCTAACGTCTCATTTAAATCTCACAAGAATCCATTTTGTGTAATATAGGACCTAAAAGACAAGTCAACTGTATTGGATCGTGTCAAACATTCGATATTATTCATTCAAATTTGCTCGATCATATGACGCAGATCCGGTAGTCGCACTTGATTTTTGACACCCCGTAACCGATACACACTTCTAAATTTGAACCTTGAATGTCAAATCTTATCTGCGATCACAGTACTTTTTGCTCCACCAGATCTGCGTCATCGTCACTGCCACTTCCTGTAACAAAGATGGCGCACGGGGGGAGCCTCTTTTACAAACTCGACTGTGGTCCTTTTGTTGAGGCGCCTCATTCAAATCAGATGCAAAGTCGGAAGCAGTTACTTTTCCATATTTCCATGTTCCACAAACGCGGAGGACGATGCAAATGAGTCGGTTATTTTTGCCCCGGACACCACCACCTCAGCCCCGTCTGTTTTAAATGTTTCACTGTCTTTTATTTTGTCACTGAAGGCACTTTTTTTTAAACCGTTTTAGATTGAATCGTTTTTGTTTATACTCTGACGTAAAATATAACTTTTATGTATTTAATTAAACTGTTTTAGGAAAATTGTGAATAAATAAATGCTGTTTTTGAATGATCCTTGTAATATTTGATTTGTGTACTTGGGTATTTTGAGTCTAGGCCTTTAAGGAAAATTTAGGTATTTGTTATTAGTTATTTTTTTGCTCTGTCTTTTTTTGTAATTTTGTACAGGCTCACTTCTCCAAGATCTTACCTGTAACTTTGTAACATGGAGACGAGCAGGTGGTGGACCCTAACCCAGAAAAGTTACACATTGATCCATTTAAGGTGGACTTTTGGAAGCTCTTGTAAAAAAAAAATATTCCACTTTACTTTATTAATTCTGAATTTTGTGCCAGTTTTTGTTTCATGTGAATAGGATCAGTAATTAGATTTGAACCAGGTAAAACAACAACTCATTATTCCAGGTTTCATGGCATATTTTCTGTCATATTTTATTTTCACATCGCTCTAAACTGATGCATTCCGCTCTGTGTCCACCAGAGGGAGCACTGAGTCTACAGGTGTTTCTTGAAAAGTTATTCTACCACTGGAAGTACTAGTAATGAGAGGAGGGGCTAATCCATGGGTCTATTAAAATAACTATTCACTTTATTCTGGACGTTGCTGTGTGCACCACCATCATTATTCGGGTTGTATTATTTTGTTTGGGGCTGCAGATCGGATAAGTTACAAGTGCCACCACAAAAAAAGCGCAATTTAGAGCAGAGTGACCAGATGTCCCCTGTTTACCTGGGACAGTCCCAGTTTTGAGCCCTGTGTCCCCTGTCCCAGCAGATTTATACAAAACCAGTGATTTGTCCCAGTTTTATACAAGAAATGTCCCAGGTTGTCCCTGTTTTAGACCAAATGTAACTAGTCCATTAGATGGGCCTAGTGCTAGTTAACAGGTGAGATAATAAGAAACAGGAACAAAGTTTAAATATGTTTATTGAATAATTTGTTGTTGTGCAGATTGTTGTGGAGTGACCTGTAAAAGACAAGGAAATAAGTAAAAGAAATAAGTGCATTTAATTAAAGTGACTGGGGATAAAATGAATGTACTTATTTTAACAGATCCAGGACTTGCCCTCTTGTGTGGTGTTCGGGCCAAAAGAGTCACCAGGCAGCTGGAGCATCTTAAGGTTTTGGGGCAGGCAACCATTTTGTTGGGAGGAGGGGAGCACAGAGATTTTTAACTTTTCTGCTTAATATTTTAAATTCATAATCTATTTTTGTATTTAGATTTAATTGAATATTTGTTGAACTGTTTGTTTGTTTTTTTTATACCTAACTTTTAAATATTGAATGTAAAATGAGTGGAACTTACCTGCATGTTAGGCTGAGCTCACCCAATTAGAGGAGGAGGCCTGTAAAAGGAGCCAGCCTCACCTTTGTCAGAGAAGGTGCTGTGTGTGAGCGCAGGTTACTGCCATGCCTGTTTTTAACCTGATGCTTTTGCAAATATTTTTCTTTTTTTTTTGTTTGGGTTCTGGAATAAATGCACTTGGGATCTGCACTACAAATCTACCACTAAGGTTGCTATCCAGGCTATTACACCCACCAATAGTAGTGACGGGAATATATTGTCATTTGTTTAGCTAAAGTACAGAAAATTGTGCTTGGAAATGAGTATAAGATGAAAAATGCACCAACAAAAGTCTATACTGACCCACAAGTGAGACGAGAATGGACAATGTTCTGCACTCTCTTCACAATTGTATTTATACCAACCATCTCAGCCCGGGTGTGGCCCAGTTTTTAATTTTGAAAATCTGGACACCCTAATTTAGGGACCAAAGTGGGCGGGGTGGAATAAGGTGCATAGTGAGTCTTTGTGTGTTTCTCAATTCCCAGGATCCTTCCTCCAAAGACCATTTTGTAAAACTCCTTCAGAGTCACCTCCTCCGAAGCAGAGCCAGGTGTCCTGCTCACAGCTCCTGGAACAGGATCCAGAGGGAGTTTTAATAAACACCAGTGCTTCTACAAATGTAAAGTGTTCAGAGGTGTTTTTATGTGTCACATGCATTGAAACATGTGAATATGTGAGTTGAATTATTTAATTATAATTTGAATTTAATTATTGTCTCAATATTTAATTGAGATGATAATCAGCCTAAATAAATAAATACACAAAGTACATCAATACAAAAAGTTCACATAAAGTTAAAAAAATTCTCAAACTTCAAAGGTGAACTTTCAAAGCTATCAGATTAAGGGTTATATAGAGCTGCATTTGCTGTTCTAAAAAGGAAATGCGGTTTGTGTCTGTTGTCACCGAATCAGCAAAATACAAAGTTCTGGCAGTGTTTACAATTTTCTGTAATTATGCAACACAACAAAGTGAAGCTGCTGTGTGAGCACTGACATATCTAACCTTAATCCATACAAATGACAGCAGGTCTGTGGAGTCGACATTGGATCAGAAAAGGCTGAAGTGCCCATGTTAGTGCACCACAATGCTGCATTAAAGAGAAACTGTGTGTCTTTCATGTGCTGCTTCAGATTTTGGCAACACATTGTTTACAAACCGTCTGCTTGTATTAAACTGCTGTGTAGCCAATATTCAAATTAGTTTGACTTCGCTGCCTGCAACTGCATTTTTTGGGCACAACCAATTTTTCAGAGGCATATACAATATCTAATTCATGACTACACCACTGCATGCAAAATTTTTAAGTGAAAACACTCTTTTTGTGCCCAAACTACAGATATTTTCACATGTTTGTCTTTCCTCGACTCCTCTGTGCCCCAAAGGTTTAATCGTGTCTAAACGTGTTTGTGAGCCATGTTCAAAGTAGTGACAGTTACACCAGCCGTAGCTCCCACACTCTCACAACAGAGAAGCACAGAGTCACTGATCAAAACACTGGGCTCTGTGTGGGGTTGGTGATGTGTCCTGGATGGTCATGTCATATTTGGTTTCTCAGCAGTAGAAGTTCAGTGAATCTGAGGAAAGACATGAATGAAAATGTGAAAATGATCCTTGTTTTCCCCTGATTCAGAACACTCACAACGATCCACGAGGAACCAGTGCCCCAACCCATGGACTGAAATGAAAACGTATTTTGATCTCCAGAACAATTTTCGGATGTTTTTAACAGTTCATTGGAAGTGTACAGAATGTGCCTGTACATGTCTAAACTATTAAATGATCCACAAAAATGCAGAAATATCACTTCTTGTTTGGGGGAGTACATGAGAGTCTCTTTCTACGGTGTTCAAACCTCCAGGTCAAAGTCTGATATCATCTGATCTCTTTTATTATCAGGGTTGGGTTAGGACTTGGATGGTACTGGGAATACCAATGACAAAAACTGCTGTTCTTAGGCAAGAACCTTCATATTGCCAGGTGTGAATCTGGTGATGGGAGGGGCCTATGGTGCAGATTGGCAGCCTCACCGTGAGATTGCCCCAGGGCAGCTGTGACTATAACACTCAAATCTCATCACCATCTAGTATGGAGTGAGTGAAATTAATTATTAATAATTTATTGTTATTATTGTTATTAAAGGCACATATTACACCACTTTCTGATCTAAACTAAAGGTAAAAGGAGCTGTTAACTGGAAAACTGCCACTTTATTACATCACAAGGTAGAACAGAGTATTTGAGCATTGGAGACGTAGACAGACTAATAATAAAGGGTTATTCAAAGATGTGTGAATGAAACAAAACACAACTCCAGGTCTGTTTTTGAGGAGGGAATTGCATTATAACATGTGTTGAAGCTTCCAGGTTCCTTAAGGTCATCTTGAACAGATTTAATTATAGACGATAAATCTGATGTTGTGTTTGTGCACATCTGTGTGTTGACACATGACCCCTCTGCTCAGAGCACTGAAGGAAGAGTCTGTAACTTGTATAATAAAGAAGTATTTATTCCGTTGTAGATAACCGGTAATTTGCCCTGGAGGAGCTCTTACCTGAGCTGATCCAGCCCACAGCAGGTCCATATAAAAGAGCCCAGATGAGGAGCGGGGATGTGCCCTGTGCCCGTCTCCAGAGAACACAACTGCACTGAAAAAACATGCTAACATACGAGGTCAAAGTGTTCACGGGCACGCTCAAGTATGCCCACACTTTCAACAACATCTACATCAAACTGGTGGGGAAAGAGAAGGAGAGCAAACGCACGTGGCTCATGGGCGCAGGCTGCTTCTTCTGTGGAGCTGTGAGTATGAGTCTAATTGGCCCCATTGTGATGTATGCAGAGGTGGGCAGTACTCAGTTACATTTACTTGAGTAAATTTTTAAAGAAATTTACTTTTCAGCAGCATACTTGTACTCCTACTTGAGTTTTTTTTTTTTTTTTTTTTTTAAGTAACGGTATTCTTACTTGAATAAAAGTTGTGCTTCCTCTTCCCACTGTGAGTGAATCTAAAGTGACAAATGCTTTACATCTCACCTGTGTGTGTTTCATCTGTGTGTGTGTGTGTCTCATCTGTGTTCTTCACCTGTGTGTGTGTCTCACTTGTGTGTGTCTCATTTGTGTGTGTCTCACCTGTGTGTCTCACCTGTGTGTTTCACCTGTGTGTGTGTCTCACCTGTGTGTTTCACCTGTGTGTGTGTCTCACCTGTGTGTCTCACCTGTGTGTGTCTCACCTGTGTGTCTCACTTGTGTGTGTCTCACCTGTGTGTGTGTCTCACCTGTGTGTCTCACCTGTGTGTGTCTCACCTGTGTATGTGTCTCACCTGTGTGTAATGTCTCACTTGTGTGTGTCTCACTTGTGTGTGTCTCACCTGTGTGTATGTCTCACTTGTGTGTGTCTCACTTGTGTGTGTCTCACCTGTGTGTATGTCTCACTTGTGTGTGTCTCACTTGTGTGTGTCTCACCTGTGTGTATGTCTCACTTGTGTGTGTCTCACTTGTGTGTGTCTCACCTGTGTGTATGTCTCACTTGTGTGTGTCTCACTTGTGTGTGTCTCACCTGTGTCTCACCTGTGTGTGTCTCACCTGTGTGTGTCTCACCTGTGTGTCTCACTTGTGTGTGTCTCACCTGTGTGTGTGTCTCACCTGTGTGTCTCACCTGTGTGTGTCTCACCTGTGTATGTGTCTCACCTGTGTGTAATGTCTCACTTGTGTGTGTCTCACCTGTGTGTATGTCTCACTTGTGTGTGTCTCACTTGTGTGTGTCTCACCTGTGTGTATGTCTCACTTGTGTGTGTCTCACTTGTGTGTGTCTCACCTGTGTGTGTCTCACCTGTGTGTCTCACCTGTGTGTCTCACCTGTGTGTCTCACCTGTGTGTGTGTCTCACCTGTGTGTCTCACCTGTGTGTGTGTCTCACCTGTGTGTCTCACCTGTGTGTGTGTGTGTCTCACCTGTGTGTTCTCACCTGTGTGTGTGTGTCTCACCTGTGTGTCTCACCTGTGTGTGTGTGTGTCTCACCTGTGTGTCTCACCTGTGTGTGTCTCACCTGTGTGTGTATGTCTCACTTGTGTGTGTGTCTCACCTGTGTGTGTGTGGGCGTGTCTCACCTGTGTGTCTCACCTGTGTGTGTCTCACCTGTGTGTCTCACCTGTGTGTTTCACCTTTGTGTGTCTCACCTGTGTGTCTCACCTGTGTGTTTCACCTGTGTGTGTGTCTCACCTGTGTGTCTCACCTGTGTGTGTCTCACATGTGTGTCTCACCTGTGTGTCTCACCTGTGTGTGTGTCTCACCTGTGTGTCTCACCTGTGTGTGTCTCACCTGTGTGTCTCACCTGTGTGTGTGTCTCACCTGTGTGTATGTCTCACTTGTGTGTGTCTCACCTGTGTGTGTCTCACCTGTGTGTCTCACCTGTGTGTGTGTCTCACCTGTGTGTCTCACCTGTGTGTCTCACCTGTGTGTGTCTCACCTGTGTGTCTCACCTGTGTGTTTCACCTGTGTGTCTCACCTGTGTGTGTCTCATCTGTGTGTCTCACCTGTGTGTGTCTCACCTGTGTGTGCCTCACCTGTGTGTGCGTTCAGGTGTCCAGCTTCACAGTGCCCTGCACGGAGTCTCTGGGGGACCTGATCCTGGTGCAGTTGGACAAACAGCCGCTGCCTCTGTTCCCTCAGGACTCCTGGTTTGTGGAGAAAGTGGAGGTGAAGTCTCCTGAGGGGCAGACCTTCATCTTCCCCATGTACCACTGGATCCACGACGACGAGGTGCACACTTTCAGGGAGGGCAAAGGTCAGTATGTCTCTCTCACCAGCAGGGGGCGCAGGTGGACAACAGTGATGAGACACAATCTCCACCAAAGTGAATTCATGACATTATCTTAAACTCTTTAACTTTTAGCGTGTGTTCACCTGCACAGAGAGGAGCAGGAGCTAAATCTAGTGCAGTGAGATTTTTTTTGTATATTTGTATAAATATACTGATGAGCTCATGTATTGAACTCAAAGAGAACCCAAAGCAGCTCAAACCTGCAGTGTGACCACTCTACTGACAAACTACACACTGCTCTAACTTTAAAGCTGCACTAAGCAACTTTTCTAGTGAAGGGTACCCCACCTGCTCATTTCCACGGAGACGGTGTTGATTTCACATTAAATTCAATTACAGGTGTTCTTATTGTCATTTACTCTGAGCCGGCTTACCAGTAGGAGTCAAGCAGGTGGCACACCCTGAACCAGAAAAGTTACACAGTGCACCTTTAAAGGTGAAAGCATTTGGTAAACATGGAACAGAGGTGTTGGTTCTGTGCGCCCTCTTGTGGTGGTTTGTGGTTTTGACTGTGCAGTGCAGTCTGTTGTTCCTGATTCTTGTTTTTAAATTGTAACAGCACCACAACAATCATGTGTCGACATGTTTTAGTATTTGTGTTTTTCATTTCACAGCTTTGAAAGTTCATCAGGACGATCACCTCTTTGCCAAATACTCCAGAGAGTTGGAGCTGAAACACAGGAAAAAAGAGTACTGGTAAGACTGATGTCATGATTTAGACAGGTGATATCACTTAACATAAAATATCAGACGTTTATGATACAAACACCTGACTGCAGGGGCGGAGCATGAAGTGTTGATACCTGTTAGGCCAATCACACTGTTCCTTATACCTCCAGACTCTGTCCCTCCTCCCTCACTCTCCCCTTTACTCCTCCAGACCTCACCCCTCCTCCCTCACTCTCCCTTTTACTCCTCCAGACCCCGCCCCTCCTCCCTCACTCTCCCCTTTAGTCCTCCAGACCTCACCCCTTCCCCCTCACTCTCCCTCTTAGTCCTCCAGACCCCGCCTCTTCCCCCTCACTCTCCCCTTTAGTCCTCCAGACCCCGCCTCTTCCCCCTCACTCTCCCCTTTAGTCCTCCAGACCCCGCCTCTTCCCCCTCACTCTCCCCTTTAGTCCTCCAGACCCCGCCCCTGCTCTGTGGTTGTCGGTGGAGCTGTAGTCCCGCTTTGACTTTGTTCTTGTTGCAGTTGGGAGGTGTACGCAGAGGGACTGCCTCACTGTATGAAAGGAACTGACCCCGTAGCTCTGCCTCCTGAGGTCCAGTTCTCCTTCACCAAAGACTCAGAGTTCAAATGGACCGCAGTCCAAGGGTGAGCTCGGTTCTACTCTAGAGTCACACATGATCGGTAACAGGGATGTGGCACAATTTCATATATCTCATGGTTCCAGTCTCGTGTGTTGTCCCACAGTCGTGTCTCCTGACCTCTGGTGACCTCTGTTGTTCCAGGCTGGCGGAGATGAAGCTCACTCACCTGGGTGACTGCATAGACCAGTGGACCGACTTTGACTCTCTTTACAGAGTCTTCTCCTTCCACAAAACCGACGTGTCAGGTGCGGCCCTGGTCCTGAGCTGGAGTCCTGCTGGAGCCTATTACCCATAGACTCTGTGGACCCTTCCAGTGTTTGTAAACCATTCCATGTTAGCTCCAATGCTTTTGAAAGGGAGAGTTAACGTTAACCTCCAAACATTGCAGAGTATGAATAAGCAGATCTCTTTTGACCACGTGTGAGTAACACCAGAGCCTCGGTAAAAACATCACCATGTGTAGCACTGTTTACGCACATTATTTAATGGATCTGTTTTACATAGATCTCAAAGCACTGTACAGCGCTTTATTCATTCACTCCACACTGTATTGTAGCCACAGCTGCCCTGGGGCAGACTGACAGGAAGCAAGGCTACCAATCTGCACCCTCCCCTTAGATGTGCACGACGTGGAGCATTTGGACCAATCAGAGTGAGAGCTGCTGGAGCGGAAATTTTATGTTGTGAAAATAGAAAATAATCCTACAATATCCGAACTTTGTGAAAGTTGTGGATGTCAGAACACAGGCAGTTTGAATTCCCAAAAATACATTGTGCTTCTATGGGAGAATTCTTTCTGGGCCCAAGCTCCTGGAGCTGCAGTACCTGTAGTGGCCACTAGTCGGTCTCGAGCCAGAGGGGGCATGTCTTATCCAGTTTTTATTATAGATCCATGCCCCTCCCACCAGCATCAATGTTCACACACACACTACTTTCATACTAGACAATGTAGGTGAAGTGCCTTGCCTAAAGACACAATGACAGTTTTATTTGCCACTGGCGCCCCCCTGTGGCACCAGATTTTTCCAGGCCCGGCCCTGCTGAGCTTCTGAGACATAATGAAATCAGGCTTTGACAAAGGTCCTTTCACACAAAATGGATTCTTGCAAACTTTTAGCCATGTTCTAATGTTGTTTCCTCCTCAAAAACAGACCTGGAGTTGTTTTGTTTCATTCACATGTTTTGGTAAATCTTTATTATTAGTCTGTCTACATCTCCAAAGCTCAAAATGCTCTGTTCCAACTTGTGATGTCATGAAGTAGTAGAAAGAAGAGCTTATCCTAAATCTGCAGGGTTTGTGTGTTAAACATGTGTGAATTGAAGATATAGTGGCCACAGTGGTTTGACAATTTAATTTGAGTTTTATTTGATCAAGCGCCACAAATCCTGCCGACATCAGTGAACTTTACAAACTGGAGCTGGAGGTTAGATTTGTTTGTTAATAAATAAACATAGTGGCTGTTTCCCGGTCTATATAAATAATAACACAGCTAATCCTGGAGCTTTATACCGTCTGTGGTCCAGAGGCTCAGAGTGAGACCTGTTGTGTTCTTCAGACTATGTGGAGCAACACTGGCAGGAGGACGCCTTCTTTGGATACCAGTATCTGAACGGACTCAACCCCAGCCTGATCCAACGCTGCTCCTCTCTGCCCTCGAACCTCCCGCTCAAAGACGACATGGTGACTCTGGAGGGCGGGGCCAGTTTGACGGAGGAGATGAAGGTGAGAGCCCCAGTCTACACTTTAGGAGTCCATTCACACATACACGACCAGCCATTTGTGTTTCTTTATGTTTTCTACTTCCTACATTTTATATAAGCACAGAAGACACCTAATATATAGCAAGCAAGATATATGGAATTATGTAGTGAAGAAAAAAGTATTAACTAAAATATTATATGTTTCATATTTCAGATTCTAATGTAAATCTGATTTGACCATTCTGCGTGGTCGACAGCTACAAACCCTTGGCCTTGTCTCAGTGACAGTGGAGGCTGGTGATGTAAACACTAGGGGGGCTTATTATTATTCTTTTTATAAATAAATATATTATGTGTAAATCAGGGTTTTGCAGACAACTACTTATATATATAATATGAATCTGAAGGCCTACAGTGTTTGCCACATTTTGCAGCAGACTACATGGTTTTAGGTTTATTTACAGAACAGGGAACAGGTCATCATCAATTTGTTTGGGACTTTTGGTTATACTATTATTTTCGCTCATAAAGATTGAATGAGTCCATTCTGGACCAACAAAACCGAATTTGGAATTACAGAATAAGCATATTTTGTATTTTTACCTCATGCATAGACTAAAGCTGCATTGTTTTTATTTTAGATGTGTTTTTTTCAAAGACATTTTTTGTAAAGTAACCCCACTTTTTCATTGCTTAGTCATAACATAAATTCTTGCCACTCTGACCAGCTTGTCAAAACAACAACAGCTGCTTTTTACAAAGAAATACGATTAATATTATGCAATGCAAATATGCAATGCTAAACTCCGCTGGCTTCTGCCTCTTACAGTAAAACTTTATCAAACCTCTTCTTGTTCTCAGTCAAACCTCTTCCTGTGCACATATTCCTTGTGTCAGGTATAATGTGGAAATGTCCCTGTGTCCCATGGAGTTTGTCTTTGTGCTGTGATTGTGGAGCTAAGCGCAGGGGGTTTAGGGGACACTCCATAGGTGTTTGTGGGACGAGCTGCTGCTGCGCTGCAAAATTAAGAGGAAATCAACCAAGGAAATCAACTGCATAAACCAAGGAAATCAACTTCATAAACCAAGGAAATCAAGATCATAACCAAGGAAATCAACTTCATAAACCAAGGAAATCAAGCTTGTAACCAAGGGTAGTGCTGACAGTTTTCTGACTTTATTCACACATAAGCCTTCCCTGTGTATTCCCAGTCATTTACTTTGGAAACTACCAGATCAGAAAGGCAGGATGTCTCTTCTGGGTTCACACATGACTCTGTTTTGGTAAAATGCAGGTAAATTCCCAGGTCAGGCTGCGTGTGTGAATGGGGCTCTATATTTATGAAATTAGACATTCTGGAGCCCTTGTTATGTTTTTCTCCTCCCTTTATTTAACCTGGACTGTCCCACTGAGATGTACAAGTACCACAACACATCACAATTTAATTAACAACATTATTGACAACACAACCACACAATAGTGAAATCCTTCTCTTTTATTTCTGTGTCTAACATGTGTCTGTAAAATAAAGCTGCGTTGACGTAAACAGACTAAGTAATTTACAGCAATAGAACTTTTTTGCAGAATAGATTGTCAGCATTATCTTTTAGCTCTTACCGTTATCTCGCGGCCTGAATAATCATGATCATCAGCTAATCTTGACATTTAACGCTGTACTTGTGTCTTTGTTATAGAACGGGAACATCTTCCTGTGTGACTATAAGATTCTGGATTCAGTGTTGACCAGTCATATCAATGGAGTGGTGCAGTACCTCTGTGCTCCTCTGGTCCTGCTCCACAGAACTCCTGCAGATGAGATGAAGCCTGTGGCCATCCAGGTGAGAAGCCTGGTGTAGATCCTGCAGCTCAGGGTGTGAAGCTAACTGGAGGCACTGCTCTGTCTGAAGCTCTGTTTGTCGCCTTAATCTTTGTTTTAATACAATCTGACCTGACTTAGCTGGAACTACAACTTTTTCTTTGATCAGTACGAGCGTTGTCTTGTTTAGGATTTCTTGTGGCTTGTTCTTAACACCTCAACTGAGCAGAACTTTATTAGGCAGCTCGTTGTCCAACATCTTTGCTCTGACTGATTATTTGATTATTTATCTGCTTCCTCACCGGTGCAGAGCAAGAAAAAAAAATGGTTTTGAGTCACAGCTGGCGAAAATTGTGAGAAAATACAAACATCTGTATGACACGACGCTCAGTGACTATAAAGACACCAAATGGCAAGAAATTCATGAAGGGAGATCGCGAATATTTTAGTCTTGGACAAAAATCATTGTAGAAAAGTCTGGCATAATCTGCATGACAAGTTTGCAAAAGCCAAAAAAAAAAAGAGTGATCAGACTGGAGGATAAAAAGAAATACTCTCGCTATAAACCTCCCTGCAGTGACTGGACTCCTTCATCAGTAGGCCTTAGGTCAGTTCTTTGTGGTCAGATTGTGTTAAGACAAAACTCAGATTCAAGTCTAATAAAGCCTCAGACAGTTAGCCCACAGGTAACATCTCACCCTCAGATAATTTTGATCATCTGTGAAATATGAACAGGAACATTGTGACAGTGACAGTTGTGCTCCACAGCTCTCTCAGAGCCCCGGTGAGAACACCCCCATCTTCTTCCCCTCTGACTCTAAGTACGACTGGTTACTGGCCAAGATCTTCGTGAGGAGCTCTGAGTTTAACTTCCACCAGCTGGTGGTGCACCTGCTGCGCACGCACCTGCTCGCAGAGGTCTTCACTGTGGCTTTACTGCGAAACATTCCCCGTGTGCACCCACTCTACAAGGTCATCTGTGCCCAGTGCATTATGGGATTGTTAAGTGATGATGTCATGTCCAGGTCCAACCAGAAACTTCACAGCTGAACTTTGTTTTTGTTCCTTATTCATCAAACAAGAAACATTTTAGTTTCAAACTGTATAAATATGTAAATAATGCAGTAATAATCAATCATAACACAGATTACCAGTGTGTTTCTCACTAATTACTGGTCATCTCTCATACTAGCTTAGCCCATCTTATATTCTCACTTCCCCCTAATAAACTTTCTGTGAGTTATAAACACTGATCTGTGCTCATGACCGTGTCAGTGTTCAACAACTGGAATCGCTCTTTTACGTGAGATGTGCTGTTGCTAAAAATCAGGCAATTATAAACATGTAATTGTTTTCAATCATCTGATGGACCCAGAAGTGACATCAGACTGAACTGTCCTACAGCGCCTCCCAGAGTCAAGGAGGAACCTGTGAAGCTCACTGTGTTATTTCTGTTTTCTCCTCACAGCTGCTGGTTCCTCACACGCGCTTCACTCTCCAGATCAACACTCTGGCTCGACAGAACCTGATCTCTAAAGAAGGAGCTTTTACGCTTGTGAGCACCTGCACAATGTTCCCGCTGTCGCCATAGAAACACACAAAAGCATTAACGCACAAACACACAAACACACAAACGCACAAACACAAACACACAAACACACAAACACACAAACACACAAACACACAAACACACAAACACATAAACACACAAAAACACACAAACGCACAAACACATAAACGCACAAACGCACAAACACATAAACACACAAACACACAAACACATAAACACACAAACGCATAAACGCACAAACGCATAAACGCACAAACACACAAACACATAAACACACAAACACATAAACACACAAACACACAAACGCACAAACACACAAACACATAAACGCACAAACACACAAACACATAAACACACAAACACACAAACGCACAAACACACAAACACATAAACGCACAAACACACACAAACACATAAACACACCACAAACACATAAACACACAAACACATAAACACACAAACACACAAACACACAAACACATAACACACAAACACACAAACGCACAAACACACAAACACATAAACACAAACACACAAACACATAAACACACAAACACATAAACACACAAAACACACAAACACACAAACGCACAAACACACAAACACATAAACACACAAACACACAAACACACAAACGCACAAACACACAAACACATAAACACACAAACACATAAACACACAAACGCACAAATGCTCTGTTTCTGTTCCAGAACACCTCGTCTGGGGGACCTGGTATGACCACCATCCTGCAGAGGGCGATGTCTTTGACGACGTACAGCTCTCTGTGTCTCCCAAATGACATCAAAGACAGAGGGGTGGAGGCAGTGCCAAACTATTACTACAGAGACGACGGGATGCTGATGTGGAACATCATCCACAGGTACAAGAAGAAGTTTTTTTTACATCAGTATGAGACCCAGAGACATGAACTCTCCAGACTCTGTGGTAGTGTTGTCCAGTCTAGTGCAGCGCAGTCTGACTATGCTTCTGTTGTAGGGAGCATTATACCTCTGGAATACAGAAATACAGTTTCTTTGACAAGTACGAAGAGGAGGGAGACTTAAGTGATCATAAATGTGATGTTATATAAATGACATAAACCTAGAGCCCAGAGTGTGTGTGAGTGTAAACTTTAGTTTGTCACGGGTGATGGTGAAGAGGAGATGTTGAGCTGAGGAGGCTGCTGGCTGTGCTGATGCGGTGGGCAGGGTTAGAGCATTTAAAACTCTGAGGTCCCTGATGGGAAAAGCAGAGGTTGAGGTGTGAACTCAGGTGTGTGGTTGTTTAAAGGTTTGTGAGTGGAATCATAAAGTACTACTACAAGAACGACTCTGAGGTGTGTAAGGACGAAGAGCTGCAGAACTACATCGGAGACATCTGGACACACGGCTTCCTGTCCAAACCAGACAGCGGTGAGATGTTTGAACACACCTACACCACAGGGATCTACAGTGTCTCAGATTTTTTTTTTTTATTTGACCTTTATTCATAGTGATGATGGTTTGTGAATCTTTTTGATACAAGTCACTCTGGTCTCTGGTTCATCACCTCAGCCAGAGACACTGTAGTTTTTGTTTCCTTACACCTGGACCTTACACCTGAACAAAGTTATGGTTTTGTCTTTTGTAAATCTGTATCATTTATCTTTATCTTTATTGTTCTCATTCTCCTGCTGTTTGTGAACTTTGTGTTGCAACTCTGTAATTTCCTCATTGTGGCTCATCTTGCAGGCATACCTAACAGCTTCAGTACTGTGGAGCAGGTGGTGGAGTTTGTGACCATGGTCATGTTCACGTGCTCCGCTCAGCACTCAGCGGTCAACACTGGACAGGTCAGTTCAATGTGAGCGCTGTTACAGCTTTATGCACTGTTACGTCTAGAGCTGCTACACCATGAGAGCGACGATTTCAACTGTGTTCATTTTGCATAACACGAGTCTGGCAACAGTTAAATCACATTTTACTGAAACTTTGCAGCTCATGTTGCCAACATTCCCTGAGGGTGTGATGCTACCTGTACGCACTGCTCTATCTGAAGCTCTGTTACTCAAGTTAGACTTTATTTTGAGCTTTGTTTTAACACGACCTGACCATAAAGAACTGATTTAGCTGAACTACAACAGAAGAGCTGATTTGTGTCAATAAACAAGTCCCTCTTAAATAACATTACAGTCAGAGGCTGGGAAGCATCAGCCAACAGTTTTTCAGTGGGTCACGTATCTTTTTGTTGGAAATCAAATTCCTAAACACCAGTAGAAAGACAGCGACAAAACGTATATGTAAAAATAAGATGACTGGACACGTCACAGCAACTCCACGTGACCGCTCTAGTGAGGAGTCCAAACTGTCAGGGATGAAAACAAAACTCTGTGCCTAAGTGCCTTTCCAAAATTAGGTCCTAGGTTCCCATATTTCATTTATCATCAATTTGCATCATATGCAAATATTACACCTCATATTATACTCAACCTCTTATCCAGCAGCAGTTGACTACAGGTGTAATGTAGAGGTCATGGAGCAAAGGACCCGAGGTTGAGATGACTCTGAATCATCCCTTTAAATGCTGTATAAAAATAAAAATGACTTGACTTAGAGTTTAATTTTAGGAAAAATCTTAGAAATAAGAAAAGATCTTTGAAATAAGGGAACATAGGGCTAACCCCGAAAAAATAATCTAATAACATAAATTATTGGACCAAATGAACCTCGTTGGACTAAACTAAACAGGACCATAAACGCTGTTGATCACACGCTCCTGAAAATGTGTTTTCAGAACATCTCAAAACTTTTTTTTTGGCAGCCTATGCTAATGTGCATATTGTGTCACCATGGTTACTGCTGAACATTCCACCACACACATCCATGTAGAACTCCCCCAATGTGATGTAACTGCAAAATATAATTTAAAAACAACATTTGGACAGTAGTACTGAGTGACACATTGTCATTATTCATGAGTTCTCTGTCTGTGTTACAGTTGGACCTCGGCGGGTGGATGCCAAACTTTCCGACGACCCTAAAACTGTCCCCTCCCTCCACCAAGGGCACAGCCGACGAGCAGACTCTGCTGCAGACACTTCCTGATGTCAACACCACAGTGCACGGTCTGACTGTGCTCTGGCTCCTCAGCACTCAGTCCTCCGACTTTGTGAGTTTAACACTTCAAGAAGAACAGAACTCACACCTATTCAGAGTTTTCTCCGTGTTAGAGTAGTTTCTTCTCACTGAGCCTCTGAAGTTCTTATGTATTTCATTACTTCACTACTTCTGTAATATATGAATTGTACTCTGAATGTATATTTGGATTTCTCAGGTTGCTATCGGCGACTACCCTCAGGAACTTTTCACGGAGGACGAGTGCCGTGAACTGATCAAGGATTTTCAGAACAATCTGAGAGATCTGGACTACGTCATCGACCGCAGGAACAAAGATCTGCCCTTACCTTACACGTACATGCAGCCCAAGCAAATGGAGAACAGCGTGGCCATCTGAAGCAGCTGCGCCGACTTTTCACTCTGTTTAAAACGACAAAAACACAACTAGTTCATTTGAAACAGTTTGCAGTGGTCCAAAGTTACTCTTCCACACACTACAGGAATTTGCCAGATTTTGGCTGTGATTTCTTTTCTCTGAGTTCAAGACCCGACTTTGTGTCATCATGTGCAATTTTAAAGCTGCTGCTCCTCGTGTCAGTGTGACTCTGAGCTGCTCTGTCAGATCGTAACCGCCAAACATCAGCAACGCTACAATAACAGCAAATAAAACAGAGCATCAGGGGCAGTGGAGAGACGGACACCGAGACACAAGATACAAACTCAGGACATAGCAAAAATTAGAAGACTTTATTACTCATCTCTTATAAAGTTGTAAATTTAAACTGCGGCATGTCATCCACATTATCCAGAGAAATTGTCCTCTGCAAATAATGAAATCCACTCAAAAAAAAAAAAAAACGCACTAATCCAGTTTGAGTAAAAAGTTGAGAGTATTTCCTCATGTGTGTCTGTTTAGCAATTGTAACTCACGCTCACAGCTTTATATTCTGTGGTCTACAGAAATATCACGCTGCAGTCTTTGTGATCAGAGATTTAAAATCTATCTTGGGGTACAACCCTTACTGCGACAGACCCCCACTCTGACCCCCAACCCCACATTCCATCATTCCGACACTTTATGATGCCGCTATTCCAACTTCTTTTATGTTGCCATTCTGATAACCTACTCATAGTTTGGAGTGTCACCTTTTTGTGCCTCCTCTTCCTGTACGCTGCGTGGGCCGTGCCTCCTCTTCCCGTACGCCGCGTGGGCCATTCGTCCTCCTCCCATACGCCGCGTGGGCCATGGCTTCTCCTATACGCCGCGTGGGCCATTCGTCCTCCTCCCATACGCCGCGTGGGCCATTCGTCCTCCTCCCATACGCCGCGTGGGTCATGGCTTCTCCTATACGCCGCGTGGGCCGTGCCTCCTCCTCCCGTACGCTTCGTGGACCATTCCTCCTCTTCCCATACGCCGCGTGGGCCGTGTCTTCTCCTATATGCCGCGTGGGCCATTCCTCCTCTTCCCGTA